CTGGCGACCCCCTCAACAATTCCAAGGCATAACATTTGGCTCTCCAAGATTGAGAATATGAGATACTAATCTTGAACCAAGCATTCATGTCAGTCATAATTTCATGTCCCCGATATACCCTGCCATTCAAAAACATTAACTCAGCCAGAAAACCACCCAACACCTTTTTGTTTGCCTGTCTATGGTGAGGAAAAACTTGGGTTCTTGAACATGTATGTTTATCAATAAAAGTCCTAACTTGAAACATTTCACAATCTTTTATCCTCTTTGCAATCATATGCCACGTACAGTTTTTGTCAATCATACACCTTGTTTTGAAACGATCTTTGCTTGATTTGTTAACTTTTAGTTGATAGCCATCTTCCACACATTTCGTATACAAAGCTACCTTTAAGTCTTCCTTTGTATCAAAACAATCATCTTTCTTGATACGAATAATTTTTGTGTAACAATCAACTGCTATCTTTACCAACTCTTCTTCCGGTATCTGAAGTAATTCTGGCATATTCCAATTATACTCTCGTGGCATTTTCTTCGGGGACTTTTCTTCGGGGATTTCTTCTTTTTCTTTTTCTTCTTCAGGGTTATATGAATTACAGAATTGATGTTCAACATGTTCATTCACAGTCGTAACTTCCTCCTCATTATCATCAACAACATCTTCCTCGGCAGCGGCTGTTTCATCATCAAAATTCAGGTATTGACCAATATCAAAATCATTACACGCAGGGTCTGTTTCTTCTTATGAAACATCATCAAAATTCGAGTATTGACCAAGATCAAAGTCCGGGTATTGACCAAGATCAAATTTCGAATACTAACTAGTACTCACAATTTTTTCTGTTGGCTCATCATCGTCTAACTGCTCAATACGAAAACCGGAATTTGGTGCTAAAAGTTTATTGGGATTTGGATTAGGGAAATATTGTGGGTTTTGAGATTGTGTTTGATATTGGAAATGTGGTGAAACAAAATTTGCTTGGTGATGAAATTGTGGTGGAACCATTAAATTTTGAGCACCATAAACTGGGGTTGAAAGACTTAGTTGATTACTACCCGCTACTGACCCAACTTCACTACTTCTAGGTTCAACAACATACAATATAACATCATCTTGCGAAACACTAATGTAAGCAATGAATTGTTCAACATCTTCATTGTCGGTTAACAAATAAACTTTACATTTTCTCTGATAAGATAGCCTAAATCCACTTAAGGGCTCTAAATTCAATTTATTTGCAACACGTAGCATTAGAGTTTCATAAGTTAACTTTTTTAATGACAATTTTAGTTGAAGATTCATGGGTAAAGGCATATATTGTAAAACACCATGAACATTCTCCCATGACCCTCCAAAACACAAATCTATCCAAACATGATCAACATTAGATGATTTCATTATTGTAAATTAATTTACTAAACAAACGAGCTGCGAAACTAAAACCTGTTGTCGGATGGGGAAGGATGTCGTTGGATATAGGAACGGATGTCGCCGGAGAGAGTGATAGATGGAGATAGAATGAGTTGCGAGTTAGGGATTTAGGTTATGAGTTGCTTCTGTTGCGTAGTTATATACCCAAAACATTTGTGTTGCGAAACTAAAATTTGTTGCGAATTTGAAATTCAGTGTTGCAACAGTCAGAATCGCGTTGCGATTATGTATTATCGCGTTGCGATTTACATATTCGCATTGCGATAGTCAAAATCGCGTTGCGAATCTGGAAACTGATTTGCGATACTGGAGATCACATTGCGATTTTGTTGGTCATTTTGACAAATCAAAAAAAATTGGTCAAAATCGTATATTATAAGAAATTTTCGGTAACTGAGGTTATTTTCTCTTAAAATAATAATTTGGCTCTTCATTGGAACAGTGATAAAGTGGAGTCAATTAAGGTTAAATTGTATTATGAATCAATATCAAATTTGTCTTCTTCAATTGCGTTGAATGCTCTTCCTTTTGTTTTGTATTTTGTTGATTTCCAGCCTAGAATAGTGAAATTCAAATGAAAACCTAGCCATTGAAATTATTTTCTTTTAGTCCTTCGTGTGAAAAATCAACCAAATTGAAATTTCTAGTCATATATTGATAAAATTCAACCATCTTTTTGGTAAAAGTACATTACATTTTTCTAAAAATGTTTAAGTTTAAATTTTACAAATCATATTATTAAGAAAAACATTTATAAAATTTAAATATAAATTATCTCGTCAATATGTATAAATTAAATATTAAAAATATTTTTTTTATAAAGATTGTTTAAGAAAACAAAGGAAGATATGTGGGATTTGTTTTAAAATTAAATTTTTTTAATTAAATATTCATTTCAATGAAAATTGTAGGACCAAAATTCCTAACCACCTTACTAAATTTTGACTTTTCAAGGAAACGAATAATGGTTTAATAAGATTTAGTTTATATTGATGTTATTGTAATATCTTGGAGATTGTTGATTTGAATATTGATAAACGAATGAATTTATATTTAAGTATAAGAATTTAAAAAATATATTTTTAAAATTTAACCGGTGGAAAATTATAAAATTTTAGAAATATAAAATTTGATTTACTAATAAAATATTTAAAATATATTTGAATTAATTTTTTTAGGAGATACAATTATACTAGTACCCTCTCAATTCATCCTTCGTTTGAGTATATACATTAACTTTTAATAAAAGAATCTAAAGATTATAGGTCGAGTTAGAGTAGATATTGATTTTTATCTTAAAAACTGAATCGAGTTTTGAATCAATTGATTTTTTTTTTAAAAATTCATACTAAATTAAATTATGACTAAATGAGATAATACTCAAAATTGATTTAGATGAGCCAAAAAATTAATTTGATTTGATCTATAATATTTTTGTTTTGAGACGGATAGACTGTCTCGTTGTGTCATTATACAAATGGGGATTGGGATAGATAGAGGGCCTGGTAGCACCTTCTCAATTATTAAATAGATTAAATATAGTTTTTGTTAGTTTGTTTCCCAATTTCAAGTGACTCGATTAAATTAATAATTACATTAAATAGATTATATTATTTAATTTAAATTATACTAGTTTATATTTATTTTAAAATTTTAAACATTATTTTAACATTTATTTTATGTTAAACAATAATATTATATATGTTCAATTATTATGTCATAAACGAACAGAACGAACACGAACGTAGTATGTTTATGTTCGTTCGTTTAACTTTTAAACAATAATATTTAAAATGGTAAACTATAAGGATGATCTAGGCTTGTAAACGAACAGAACGAACACGAACGGAGTATGTTTATGTTCGTTCGTTTAACTTTAACCGAACAAATGAACGAACACGAACATAAACGAACGAAAAATTTATTGTTCGTGTTCGTTCGTTAAGGAATGTAGTTTGTTTGTGTTCGTTGAGAAGATTCTACTTTTAGTACCTCACAATCATGAACCAAATTAGACACACATGAGCATCACAACCTTCAATATTTGTGCATGCCCTTCATCAATGGTGTAGCGATGGAAGAATTTCAGTTTAGCACGAGCAGAAATTCTTTCTGAAGTGAAATCTTTTGCATGCCCTTCGTTTGGAAGATTCTCACCTTGCTCGCTACGCTTCCACACGAAGCCGAGCTTCAAAATTGACGTGCTTGCTTTACGGTGCATGTTACGGCTCAAAGAGCATACATTCAACCTCACCATGCCATTGAAATTATTTTATTTTAGTCCTTCGTGTGAAAAATCAACCAAATTGAAATTTCTAGTCATATATTGATAAAATTCAACCATCTTTTTGGAAAAGTACATTACATTTTTCTAAAAATGTTTAAGTTTAAATTTTACAAATCATATTATTAAGAAAAACATTTATAAAATTTAAATATAAATTATCTCGTCAATATGTATAAATTAAATATTAAAAATATTTTTTTATAAAGAATGTTTAAGAAAACAAAGGAAGATATGTGGGATTTGTTTTAAAATTAAAAATTTTAATTAAATATTCATTTCAAAGAAAATTGTAGGACCAAAATTCCTAACCACCTTGCTAAATTTGACTTTCCAAGGAAACGAATAATGGGTTAATAAGATTTTGTTTATATTGATGTTATTGTAATATCTTGGAGATTGTTGATTTGAACATAGATAAACGAAACAATTTATATTTAAGTATAAGAATTTAAAAAATATATATTTGAAATTTAACGGATGGAAATTTATAAAAGTTTAGAAGTATAAAATTTGATTTACTAATAAAATATTTTAAAAACAATATTTAAAATATATAAGAATTTAAATTTTTTAAGAGATACAATTATACTAGTATCCTCTCAATTCATTCTTCGTTTAAATATCCTTAAGTATATGTTAACTTTTAATATAAGAATCTAAGGATTATAGGTCGAGTTAGAGTAGATGTAGGTGTATATATAGATTTTTATCTTAAAAACTGAATCGAGTTTTGAATCAATTGTTTTTTTTAAAATTCACAATAAATTAAATTATGACTAAATGAGATAATACTCAAATTTGATTTAGATGAGACAAAAAATTAATTTGATTTGATCTATAATATTTTTATTTTGAGACAGATAGACTGTCTCTTTGTGTCATTATACAAATGGGGATTGGGATTGATTGGGATTGGGATTGGGATTAGATAGAGGGCCTGGTAGCTTCAATCTGACCTTCTCAATTATTAAATAGATTTTTTTTAAAGAAGGGTACTTTATATTATATGGATCACAAAGTGCACTACCTCAAGGTCCTCATTAAAAAACCTCTCTAACCTATATGGAGGAAAAAGAGTGAACCTTAAGATAGGGATAATCAAACCACCAAAGTTCATGTTACAATAAAACAGAAAAGAACCCATAATTAAAGACACCACCAGTAACCCCAACAGAGCTATTCATCAACCCTACTATCGAGACCCTATGGAATACACAGGTTAAACATGCACATAACCACCCACAAACTTAAACAGAGCTACAACCTCAGTATTTGATCAATTTAAACCTGTGAAAACAACATCAGTAACCCAACCAGATCTAAGCCTCAAACCTGCTGTCGATCCCCTATGGTTAACACGCGCATGACCAAGCACGAACTTAAACAGAACTGCAACCTCAGTTTTGGCTCAAATGTAACCTGTGCAACCATGTTTGAAAAGAAATTAAACAACACACAAAGCAACAAGCTTATCAAAATCATTAAAAATAAAAGAATCCGGGCTTTGAACGAAATCGACAACATATGGAACTAACGACGGCCATAAAATATTAGCCCAAACCCCTATCTGTAATAAAACATTGTTGTATATCTGCTCCACAGTGAAAGACAATCCATTGAACCTTGCTTTGTTTCTGCACAACCAAATCTGCCAGATCAATCCAAAAAATCCAAGCTGCCATAAATCCTTTACATGTCTTCTAATTCTCTGAGAAAACCATATTTCTAATAGGTCTCTAACTTTCATGGGGAAAACTAACTGAACTTTCCATAACAAGCACCATCGTTGCCACACTTGCCAGACGAAATCACAATGACAGAGCACATGCCATACATCTTCTGTAGTATGTTTGTAGAACAAGCACAAAAGGTTAACATTGCAAGTGATGGCCCTCTTAACCAATTCTGATGCAACCGGCAGCCTTTGATAAATAGTTTTCCAAACAAAAGCAGCCACTTTTGGAGGAACGAACTTGTTCCAAACATAATTCCAAATATGGTATTCCGACTTATTTATCGTTTCCAGCTTGATACAGTAAGTTTTAGAATTATATTTACCATTTGAAGAACCCAGCCACTTTAATCTATCAACACCTGGACTAGCAACAGTACCTCTATTCAGAACTTGAATAAAATTACTCCAAATAACCATTTCCCATACGAACAAATTACGCCTCAATTCAATGTTCCATACCCAGTCACTATTCACCCACTGCCCAAACTCACTAATGGCACCAGATTTTTTAATAGCAATTCCATAAATTCTCGGAAAAGCTACTTTTAATGACAGAAATTCAGTCCAATGATCATTCCAGAAATTGATTCTGCGACCATTCCCCATAACGCACCTCACTTCAGATAAAAAGCGTCAGCATTCAAATAGGCATGCTTCACTATATTATACCACACCCCTGATGAAATACGTGAGCTAACGCCAATAGGCAAAATCGCATCCGACTCATAATTATACTTAGCAACAATAATCTTTTTCCATAAGCTTTCATTATCCTCACTAAATCGCCAAATCCATTTATTCAACAAAGCTCGGTTCCTAATCTTAACATCAAACAAACCTAGGCCACCACGAGACTTCGGACCACATACCGTATCCCACTTAATCCAGTGAATACCTCTGCAATCCTTTACATTCCAAATGAATCTGGCTATGCATTTGTTAATAATCTCTGCAATGGAGCTAGGGATCGAAAAAAGGGACATATAATATACCAGGAGATTCACCAACACAGATTTAATCAAAGTTATACGTCCCCCGAGAGAAAGTAATTTACCTTTCCAACTTTCGAGACGCGTTTTGATTTTATCCACTATAGGTTGCCACATCACCTTAATATTTTTTTTGAAGCCTAATGGAAGCCCCAAATAGGTTGAAGGCAGACTTGCCCAACCACGAGAAAACAACTTTACCCACCTTGCACTATACTATCAACCACATTAATTCCGAATAAATTAGTCTTCTGCATATTTAACTTCAGCCCAGCAGACAGTTCGAAAATTTTTAGGACTCGAAACAGATTTTTGATCATTTCTTCATTTGCTGTCGAAAATAAATCGTCAGCAAATTGGATATGGAAAACACTCGTTCTTCTTTGCCCAATAACTACTCCTCCACACAGACCAAGAGAAACCGCTTTGTTTAACAGTCTGCTAAGAGCCTCGCCCACAATATTAAACAAAAACGACGACAACGGGCATCTTTGTCTAAGACCCCTCTTAATAGAGAAACTTAGAAGGACACCCATTTACTAAAATAACGATTTTGGGAGTAGAAATACAAATGTTGATCCAATTCCTCCATCTTTTACCAAATACCATTTTCTTTAATATCAAATTCAGAAACCTCCAGTCGACTGTATCGTATACTTTGCTGAAATCTGCCTTGACTAGAATAGCTTAACTCTTATTTTTGTATAGGTCATCAAGAACTTCATTCGCTATCAAAGAACAATCTAAAATATGTTTACCAGCCATAAACACAAACTAGTTATCATCAATCACTTTATTTAAACAAGGAGACATTATGTTCGCTAAAACACGCGCTATAATTTTATACATACTGCCCACCAGAGAAATTGGTCTAAAGTCTTCAGGAGAGACAACCTGAATTTTCTTCGGAATGAGAGCGATGAATGAGTTATTAAAAGAAAAATCAGTAACTTTACCCCAATAGAAGTCTTCCATAAACTTCAACACATCAGCTTTAATATCCTTCCAAAATTTCTTGAAAAAGTCCAAGCTGAAGCCATCCGGACCTGGCTGTCACGAAATTGGGCCTTTTCCCCACACTTTGGGCTATTTTGGCTATGTTGGGCCACAATTAGTCTTGGAGGTTAATAGAATAGTGTAGATTATTCTAGAACACTCAAGACTTGTACATAGTCTAGAAGCATTCTAGAGTCTTCAATGTTAGGTAGGAAATAATGGAGAATTCTAGAGAATCTCTCCCTACCGTAGGATCAAATCAATCTCCACCGTCCATTGAGGAGGTGGGATGCTATAAATAGGTGTAGAATCCTCATTTGTAAATCATCCAAGAGTTGTAAGCATTCAAGCATTCAACAAGCTTTCTCTCTAAGTTCTTTCCTTTCTTCTTTTTTTCCTTGCCAATCCTTTCTCTAGCACGAGTTCGAGTGAGGCTGACTTAGCTATCGCGAGGGGCGAAAAGGAGCTAAGGCCGCACAAGGCTTATTGAGTGATTAAGTCCGTGACAGTTGGTATCAGAGCCGGTAAAGGCGTCAATATCGTGCACGTGTATTGTAGGAATGGTCAGAAATTCGAACGAGTCGACTGTTGCTGAGGAATGTGGAAGAGAAGCTGCACCCACCAACAAGAATAAGAAGAGGGACCAAAGTAAGGCCCGCGAGAGCACTTCCGTGGAACCGATGGTGGCAGAGTTTGGCGAGAAGCTGGAAATGGTCCAGCACGACTTCAAGACGTTGGAGGACCATGTCTTGGAGCAAGTTGACACACTCAAAGAAAATGTCGAAGAGACCAACAACGAGGTGGAAGCTCGGTTCATACAGCTAGAGGATATGATCCAAGCCGTCCGTGAAAGCATCGAGGGGATGCGGGAGGACTTGACGCTCTGCAAGAGAGCCGCCGTTAGCGGGGGTGCTAACCATGTCTCCACCCCGAGGGTCGAGTACCCCAAGCCGCAAGGGTTCAACGGGGCAAGGGACGCCAAGGAAATCGAAAACTACCTATGGCGGATGGAGCAATACTTTGAGGGAATCAGCCTTAACGACGAGGCCGCCAAGGTAAAGACCGCTGCCTTATATCTTTCCGATACTGCTATGTTATGGTGGCGTAGGAAACATGCCGACATTGAGCGAGGAGCTTGTCGGGTAGATACGTGGGATGAGTTCAAGAAAGAACTCAAGAAGCACTTCTATCCCGAGAATGTGGTCTACGAGGCTCGCAAGAAATTACGGGAGTTGAAGCAACGAGGTATTATGCGGGACTATGTGAAAGAATTCACAACCCTTATGCTTCAAATTCCCAATATGTCCGAAGAAGATCTCTTGTTCTACTTCATTGACGGACTACAAGGATGGGCCAAGCAAGAGATGCACCGTCGGGACATTAAAACGGTTGATGAGGCCATTGCCATCGCCGAGTCACTCGTCGACTTCCAACCCTACTCCCACACCAATGCAACGAAAAATAAAGATAAGTATCCAGCCAAAGGTGGGGGAGAACGGCGGGAGAATTACCAAGGCAACCGAGACCGAGATCACCCGAAGGCCACAAACTAAAGAGGGAGATCGTGATCGACGTCCGGGCCGAAGGGACTATGAAGAGAAGAAAAAAGGCCTTCGTTCCCAAAGGAGGATGCTTCTTGTGTAAAGGACCGCATCCGATGAGTAGCTGTCCCAAACTTGGTTCATTGTCTGCCATCGTCGATCGTCAAGACACAAAGTCTCAAGCCGAGATGGGGTCACTCCAAGTTCTAAACGCCTTGAAGGCCAAGCCATTGACACCAACATCAAGTAATGGGCTCATGTATGTGGAAGCGGTGATCAACGAGAAGCCGACAAGAGCCATGGTGGACACGGGAGCTACCCACAATTTCGTGTCTAAAGACGAAGCCAACCGTTTGGGCCTAAAGTACACTGGGAGCACAGGATGGCTCAAGACGGTAAACACACAAGCTGTACCACTCCATGGCGTGGCACAAGGGGTCGAGCTACGCTTAGGCACTTGGAAGGGCCAAGTGAACTTTTCTGTCATTCCCATGGATGACTTTAAGGTCGTTTTGGGGTTAGACTTTCTCCGACAGGTAACCGCTATCCCTATGCCTTCCTTTAGTTCTGTTTGCATCTTGGAGAAAGGGTCTCCTTGCATGATCCCCACGATCGAGGTACCAAAAGAGCAAGGTCGAGATGCCACACAACTCTCGGCCATACAACTTGGTAAAGGCATCAAGAAAGGGGACATTACTTACTTGGCCATGCTAAAGGAAGATGACGAGATCGAGAAAACGGATGACCTACCATTAATCATCCGTGAAGTCTTAGAGGAAAACAAGGACGTGATGCCGCCCGAGTTACCAAATAAACTTCCACCAAGGCGTGAGGTGGATCACAAGATCGAGTTAGAACCCGATGCCAAGCCGCCTGCCCTGGCACCCTACCGAATTGCCCCACCCGAACTTGAGGAACTTCGAAGACAACTCAAGGAGTTAGTCGATATGGGAATGATTCGACCTTCGAAGGCACCGTATGGCGCACCAGTACTCTTCCAAAAGAAGCATGATGGGTCATTGCGCATGTGCGTCGATTACCGAGCACTTAACAAGGTAACCATTAAAAATCGCTACCCGATCCCTTTGATTGCCGATTTATTTGACAGACTTGGAGGAGCCAAGGTGTACACGAAGATGGACTTGCAAAAAGACTACTACCAAGTTCGAATAGCAGAAGGCGACGAGCCAAATACTGCATGCATCACCCGATACGGATCGTACGAGTGGTTGGTCATGCCCTTTGGTCTAACCAATGCACCGGCAACATTTTGCACGCTCATGAACAAGCTCTTCCAACCGTACTTGGACCAGTTCATGGTGGTGTACTTGGACGATATCGTGGTATACAGTAACTCCATCAGAGAACATGTAGACCACTTGAGGATTGTGTTCAAGATACTTCGAGAAAACGAGCTATACGTCAAGAAAGAAAAGTGCACGTTTGCCACCGAGGAAGTACACTTCCTTGGACATGTAATCGGCCACGGGAAGCTATTAATGGACAAGAACAAAATCAAGGCCATAACCGAGTGGGAGCCGCCGACCAAGGTAAGTGAGATGAGGTCCTTCCTTGGTCTAGTAAATTATTATCGTCGGTTTATACAGGGCTACTCGGCGCGAGCATCACCATTGACGGACCTACTCAAGAAGGGGAAGGCATGGGAGTGGTCCGAACAATGTCAGAAGGTCTTTGAGAACCTGAAGGCAGCAGTTAGCCAAGAACCTGTCTTGACCTTACCCGACTTTACCATGCCATTCGAGGTGCATACCGATGCATCTGACTTCGCTATCGGGGGAGTATTAATGCAAGAGGGGCATCCGATAGCATTTGAGAGCCGCAAGCTGAATGACACCGAGAGACGGTACACGGTGCAAGAGAAGGAGATGACGGCCATCATCCATTGCTTGCGGGTATGGAGACATTACTTACTCGGCGCGCATTTCACCATCAAGACCGACAACGTGACGACGAGCTACTTTCAGACCCAAAAGAAGCTATCACCAAAACAAGCTAGGTGGCAAGACTTCCTAGCCGAGTTCGACTACACGTTGGAATACAAGCCGGGCAAAGCCAACGT